AATCCAAAACGAGCAATAAACTTCACCGATCACTTATATAGTTACATGTTGCTATCATTATTACAAATGCATGGAATATCTCGTAAAGCTAAGAAGCAAAATAGAAAATGAACAGAGACTAAAATCGCAATAGTCACCAAATTACATAGACAACTCTTTCCACCAGGCTATTATTATCACGCTCCTGTTATTTTTTCCTTTTTAAAGACCTACGTGACTGACGGCAACAATAAAATACCTACGTGTTTTTTTTCAAGACTGTTGATCAGTTTGCAAAACACTGGTGTCAGAAAATGACAAAAAAAACAAAAAACAATAGGGAGAAGAAAATCTAATAGGACATGTGTGGCATATCTTATACCGTTAGATGAAAAAAGAGATTATTTGCTGCTATATCCTTTTAGGACCTGAAATTAGACGACTGTCTCTCTCCTCTCCAACTCTCTCCGGCATCTTTTTCAGATCTCAGAAATCAGCTCCGGCGTTGGCAGCGCATGCGTGACGGCTCCGGAGGCAGTCTCCTCTTAACTCTCTCTCTCTCTTTTGCGTTTTGCTTCGTTGCCGTTTCAAAACCCTCTCTGCCTTGTTCGTGGTTCTGAGCTTGAAGACGGCTCCGCGTTCGTCTCCGCTCGAGAGGAGCTCCGGAAGCGGCGCGGTTGGTTGGGCTTGGAGGTAAGGACGCGGAGGGTGGTGGTGCTGCTGGCGGCGGAGTCGGATTTTAGGGTTTCAAGTGGTCCTTATCGCTTGGTGAGATGGCAGCGCGTGGAGGCTAGGGCGCGGCTCCGGTTTCCAGATCCGCAGAGTAGACTCTCTGTCTCTTCCGATCTGTGACGGTGGGTGCTGGTCGTCGGACTTTGTCTCTTCCTCGGCGTCTTGGAATGACAAGTCCGTTCTTTCTCGCACCATGGGAGCTTCGGTGGTTCGGTTTAACACGAAGACGAGTTTGAGCCAGCGGTGGTGGCGTGTGTTGTTACTTCTGGTATTGGCTCGTGGAGCTTGGTTCGTTGCGGTGTCAATGCGGTCGTCCATGGCCTCTATGATGCAGCGTTCACAAGATCTCTCTCCATTGTTTCCTCTCTTCCCGGTCCTTGAGTCCAGATTCATCCGTTAAACTCAGTCGACGAGTTTTTGTGGTGTTAAGCTCTTTTTTGTTCGTTGGGTTGTCTTCGTGTTAAACTCAGTAGCAGCATTTGACGGCATTGGTAATTTGTTCTCCGGTTCTCAGAGACAAAGGTTGGCGAAAGGAGTTGTGACTCTTGTGGTTTACGAGTCTCCGTTCTCTTTCGGTGGCACCATTCGGCGGCCAACATATCCCAGTATCATGAGCCTTCATTTGTTAGTTCATGATAATGTTGTCCGATTACTATATTGCAGGTCTTGGAGCTTCTCGGGTTCATGTGGCAGCGGTCATCCCTAGCCCGATTTTTTGCATCCCGTACTTGGGGCTTATTTGTCTAAGTGCGGTTTCATTTCACGGCAGAGTCGAGCTTCTCGGTTGTTGGGTGATTTTCACTTGGTACGTGTCTCTCAATCTCTCTTCTGTGTCTGTTTGCGCTCAAACGAAGGTGACGATTGCAAGCTTCGATGAGTTCATCGAGTACAAGCTACTCCGGAGGCGACACGGGAAGACCCCGACATCCGAGGAAACGGGGTTAATCTCTCCTCCCTGTGGTAATCGTCAAAGGTTGAGAACAGTATTTGATTCTCTGGGATTATGAATTTGATCTAGCGGAACGCGCCGGGGACATGGGTCGAGCGAAGCTAGTTAGGAAACATTTGATTAGGGTGCTTTTGTCGAGTCGGGTTTGTAATCGAAACTGTATTCCCGATTTCGGGTCGATTAATATATTATAATTAAATTAAAAAAAAAAAAAAATTAGACGACTGTCTATAACGTGACTTAATCAAAATTAATGATCAAAATGATATTCTCTCCCTCTCTCTCCTCTTACACTCCTAGTCTAGATGTATCAGTTTTTTTAATCTCTGAAACAACTATTTTAACTCTCTTTCCTTCATCTCTTTTAATTTTTTCTGTTTCTATCATTTCCTTTTAAATCTCATATATGTTTCGTTATTGTTTTTTCTAGTTTTATCTCATCTGTTTTTTTAATTATTTCCATTTCTATGTTTTCTAGTGTTATTAGGCTTAAAGAAAATATTATATCTATGTGTTAAAGTTACAGCTAAAACTTTTATTAATGCATTACAAATAACATTAAGCTTGATATCAAATAAGTATCTTAACATATAGTTTATAGAGTTACCATTTGTGACATGTTAACCAATTTTTGTATCTTGTATTAACTGTTAACAAATATATGTACCAAATGTAATAATAGAGACATTAACAGTTAACAAATTTCGTAGATGTTAACAGATGTTTTAGCTGTTAACAAATACATTACCAGATGTATTAACAGAAGCAGTAACAGTTAACAAATTTTGTAGATGTTAACATTTGTGTTAGCTGCTAAAAAAATATGTACTATAGGTGTAAACAGATGTGTTAACTGTTAATAAATTTGTATATGTCAATACATGTGTTATGTATTATAAGTAAAAAAAATTATATTGCTGAAGCTTCAGTTTCTCTATCGAACTGAGTGAATTTAAAAAGAAAAGAAGTGGAAAAAAAAAGTGTGTTATCGTTGAGAAAAAATGAAGAAAAACAAATATTTGAGAGAGTAAATGAATGTTAACGAATGAAATAAAAAGAGTGAGAGATAGTGTCAGAAAAAGAAAAAGAATCTGTGAGAAGGGAAAGAGAAATTCAATGATCTACAAAGTTATTTTGGGCAAACCAAACTTGTATGTTTTGACTTATAATGTTAAATCATGCGTAAAACTCTAATTATGACTCCAAATATGGGTATTTCACTAAATCTAGTATGAAAACTAGTTGTTTTGCCCACCATGCGGGTTTAAGTGTTTTATAATTATATATACTAATTAAAATTATAATCATATATTATTGTTTGTGTTTTCATTTTGAAAATTTTTAATCTTAAAATTATTCAAATATCATTTTTTCATTTATAAAAAATTATGAATTTTAATTAATTAATATTTAATTATTTATTTTCTGTTTTTGAATTTTTAAATATTTTATCAAAGATACCTTTCAGATAACAATACAATATATATATGAATTATCTGTTTAAAATAAAATATATTTTTGGATTTGGATAACTCTTATTGTTATTGTTTAAAATAACTTATCTAATAAAATAAATTAAAATTCGTTTTTATATATAATTAATTTATATAATTTATTTATTAATGGTATAAACGATATTAACCGCGCTAACTTTTAATGTGGGAGCCCCGTTACGAAAAATTACTTTGCTTAAGCTTTTTATAATTATTTGTTAGTAAATAAATTACTAATTAAAAATCATTTTCAAAATTTTTACTTTAATTAAAAATTATTCAATATTATTTTTTCAATTATATAAAATTAAGAATTTTAATTAATTAATATTTAATTATTTCTGTTTTTGAATTTTTAAATATTTTATGAAAAGATAGTTTCAGATAACAATACAATATATATAGGAATTATCTTTTTAAAATAAAATATATTTTTGATTTTGGATAACTCTTATTGTTATTGATTAAAATAAATTATCTAATAAAATAAATTAAAATTCTTTTTTATATATAATTAATTTATATAATCTATTCATTAATGGTATAATCGATATTAACCACTTTAACTTTTAACGTGAGAACTCCATTGCGAAAAATCACTTCGCAAATAATAGTTTGCAAATCCTCTATATACTAAAGCACAAGTCACATGGCCAATAAAAATTTGACACATGGCATGTGATTTAAAATTTAAATAAAACATTTAAATGTTGAAAAAGATTTTTTTTAAAAACAATTAAAATAACCGATTTCTATATATTTTTAATAAAAAAAAAATTCTCTGTTACTTCTCCCACTACATCATGATCCCATTATCTCTGAAACCGTTAATCATTTTCTATATAGCTACTAACTTACGGTGCTTTGTATTCTCCTCTATTTGCACTGGTTTCATACTACTATTGACTCTCTCTATAAGAACTGATGAAATTTCAAAACAGATCGATGACTTCGGACGATCGTATCAACATTGTCAAGTCATTATCGGCATAGCCTTTTGTGCGGTTGTGCCAAGCGGTGGCACCAATGCTTTTTTAAAAACATATTTTCAAAGTGAGGAGATGAAGGCAAAAATCCAGGTTAGTGACTACATACGCTAATCTATTTAATACTCAAATCACAGTTTATGTCATGTTGTTTTTTTTCATGAACCTTTTTCTTTTCTAACCTACTTATGATATTTTTTCTTTTGATCTATAGATTTTGGCAAAGCGAGCCGCACTGTGATTAAAAAGGTAAACGTTATAAATTAGGCCAATACAATTTTTGAAATTGACTAAGTTAATTCTCGATTGGTTTTAAAATATCTATTTGTTGTGGTAGTGATAATACCAGAAAAGAAATAAGAAGCTCACCTAACAAACTTGAGAAGCACCCCAAAGGAAAAAAAGTTAGAAGGCAAAAATACTGGGGCTTAAGAAAATCAAGTGGTAGAGGAAACGAGAAGTACTCTCATGTTAGGTTGGCTTTACTTTATTTATATATTTTTATAATTGTATAGATATTATTTTTATTTACTTAGGAGTAAAATACACATTTTTTTTTGTTTTTCTTATACAATGTAACCAAATTTCGTAGAGTAAATATAAACCTGGAAGTGGAGAAAGATACACATGGAGACGAACTAAAAAATATAGATATATTGACTTTATTTACCTGCAAAATAATGTTAATTTTTTTTATTATTTTTGTGCAAGTGATATGTCTTCTCTTAATTTCATTTCAAATAATTTTGTTAGTTTTGGAAAAGAGAGATCAATCACTAAGGTTTTTTGAACTGTTGAACTGTTGTAAAATACAAGCAGAACGGTTTTTAACTTTCATTAAGTTTATCATTCACTAATATCCTTTAAAATAATATTTATTTTATTATAAAATATAAAAAATATATTTATACATATACAATGCCCGTGCTTAGCACGGGAGAGAATACTAGTAATAGTATAAATCCTCACGACGACTCTCCGGTTTATCATGTGAGTCGGTTAATAGGACCGGCTTACTTGTTTGTCAGGTTCTAAACGTCGCTATATAACCGGCTTTAACCCGATGATATTTGTAGCATTTTCCAATTAATTTTTATATATATTTTCGATATTTTTGATACAAACACCTATCATCGCGTCTGTGTATATAAGTCATCGTCCCCCTTCTCTCTCCCTCGTGCTCCTCCGCTTCAGCATTTTCCCGAGAAAGTTCTAGCTCGAGAAAATTTGGAATGGGGTTGAAAGTAGCACCCTACACTTCTCCCTTCCTTCAAAGGGCATCTCATCCTTCTTCTTCTTCCCTTTCTCAAACCCTACCTTCCCGCGCCATATCATCACGAAGACACGACGAACGGTTCGTACCTCAGAGACTGAACCGTTCCCCTCTCTTCGGAACTCCACTCCATCGCTCCAAATCCTGCCAACTATCTAAACCGACCAAAACGCAGTCGTTTCGAAGAGTTTCTAACGCAAGCTTCTCCGACGAGGAGTTTTCGAAAAAGATCCAAGAGCTAACTCTCAGATTCAACGACGAGAGAGACACGAACGAGATGGCACACTTGTCGAGTATCGAAATGAAAGCGAACAGCGTCCATCTTCCTCTCTCGTTACGTATCATAAAGAAGAAGCGACAATGGGAGGAAGGTGTCAAACACGCGGGCGAATCCGCGTGCGACTCCATGAGCAAAGCCTTTTCTTCGATGGTGTTCATGATTCAAGAGCTTCAAAGCTTCACTCTACACATGAGAGAGACTCTCTTGTACGAAGACTTGCAAGGGATCTTGGTGCGTGTTAGAGAAGAGATGCACGCTTCGTTCGTCTGGTTGTTCCGACAAGTTTTCTCCGCGACTCCTACGTTGATGGTTTACGTCATGATACTCCTCGCCAACTTCACTGTTTACTCACTCGGTTCCAACTCTGCTTTAGCCGCCCCGACCACTACCGTGACAGAGCTAACAACTGTCGGTGAAACAAGCGAGAAGCTCGATTCCTCGGTGGTTAAAACGTTCTTTGTGTCGTCGTCTCCCACTGTAGACGGTAGCAGCAGCAACGGCGGCGGTGGAAATATTCGGACGGTGGTAAGCGGGACGGATGGTGATGGGTTCGATGTACCAGAAGGAGCTTCGCAGTTGTCATCGTCAACGTTCGGGTCAACGGCTACTACGGAGACAGAGACATCAGTGTCGGGACGAGATGAAGTTAGGCTGTGGAATAAGATTGTGGAGGAAGCAGAGGAGATGCAGTATTCGAAGATGGACAATGTGGTGGATCACGAGACGAGGAAGCGGTTCGTGTCTCCTTTGGATGCTCGAGTGGAAGCAGAAGAGGAGATTGATTATTTCAGAACAGAGCTTCTTTATCAAACGGGACTGTCTCATGAGCCTGATAATACTCTGCTTCTTGCTAACTATGCTCAGTTCCTCTACATCGTCTCTAATGATTATGACAGGTAATAAACATTTTTTTTACTCTCACATTTTGTTTTAATTTTAGTTGATTTTTGTAGCTTAAGTAAATTTGAAGTTAGGGTCGAATCTTCCTTTTAGATGCTTTGTGAGGCTGCAAGTTTATGCTAACAGTCAAAAGTAGGAGCAGTACTCGATGATATTTCATTTCACTAGTGGGGGGCATAGTTGTAGAAATTCAAATTGTTATAAATTCATAATAATTGCATCAGCACAGATCTGTAACCGACCAATAGAGTTGAGCCATTTATTTTCCTCTTCTAGTAAGAAGACAGAACATAAAAATATCTAAGGAATGAAGAAATTAGATTAGTTTTAGCCAATGAGATCTGAGTCTTTGAGGACCGATGATAGTGGAGTTTACGGTGGAGTTTTGAAGACACCCCACCAAATTCCAACGAATAAAAAGGTGGTTCTGTCCAAAAGTCGCTGCTTCAGAATCTGTCCTCTAGATTTATTTCCCATTTAATCGAACTAACCCATGTTTTTGTCATTGGCTTTAATTCATAGCTAAGTTAGTATTGTTTGATCGAATAAAGCAAGGTCGTATTGTAATCTAGGTGGAACTAGTAGACATGGGCGTTAGGATTTTATTAAGGCTCTAGGAACAAAAAGAGAAAAAAATTAAGCCTAGGCAATGAGTATTTGTCAAAATTTAACATTTACTTTCCAACTGGGTTAAGCATTCTTTTAATCATATCATATTACTTGATATATATCAGTCGTTTAATTTGTAACCAATCTTTTCTGCTATCCTAACTAATATTGGCTAGATAGGCATGTCATTTTCTATCACCATTACGCAATTCACAATCATCTTATGATTCTTTTGCATTTTAGTCAGCTCATCTTTAATACGTTCCACTTCCACGTCTTACATATCTCTAGTGAATTAGTATCTCACGTGATTCCATATCTTTTTTGTGTGTAACAGAGCAGAAGAGTACTTCAAGAGAGCGGTGGGAGTGGAACCCAAAGACGCGGAGGCGCTGAGTAAATACGCCACGTTCTTATGGAGAGCACGGGACAATCTTTGGGCGGCCGAGGAGACTTTCTTGGAAGCAATCGATGCCGATCCGACCAACTCTTTCTACGCCGCTAATTACGCTAATTTCTTGTGGAACACCGGCGGTGATGAGACTTGTTTCCCACTCGACGAAGATACCATCTAGTTAGGACTGTCCAACATCGAGTCTCTCAAAATAAACTTCTATACCAACTAATGAATATATACATAAATATGTGCATATTAATGATGTATCTGCGCGTTTGTCATGGGCTATGTCACGAATTAACGGTGGTGAAACCTGAAAAACGTTTAATCATTTATGGTTGTGAATTGTGATTACTGTAGACAAAAAGACAAATATATTCCACCAACTTGGCCCAAGTTACTTGGGTTTATGGGGCTTCTCTTGAGCCTATGTCGTGGAACTGAGCATAAGAGAGGGAACATTACGTTTATTTGGTTCCTATATATAGGGTATACTGTCAAGTTAACGAAGCTACATTTATTTGCCATGTAGTTCATATGGCCATATATTCTGTAACTAGTTGTACATTCATAGTGTTAATAATTCTACTTTTTCGGGAGTTATGGCAGCATGTATAAGCTTGTATCAGACCTAACATGAAAAATATGTAACTGATAGTTCGTCCTGCTCTCTTGGATCAAACTTTGAATTATGTAGCTAAAACTAAATTCAACCACTGACATACAATCATTACTGCATAAATGCCATCAACAAAAAGAGCAAACAACTAGTGAAAATCATTAATTCCTTCAACGGATGCAAATAGAGCTACAACCAATTGGTTATGCCAAGCCTTAATACGTGATGCATCTTGATCCACGGAAACGGAGGAAACTCAATGTTAGGGGGGGGGGGAGGACCAGTAAGGAGCTCATAGTCTCCCACAACATAGTCAGCGTGGTATATAGAATTAGGGACAGACCAGTATACATGCTTGCTTTGTTACAGAATGTCTCGCTTTTGCCAAAGAAAATGCAGAGATTTTAATGTCTCTGTTTTGGTCTTGTCGATGCAGATTAGTACGAGAGTGACGGCTTCAGGAGTCACGGAGATTGGGATTAGTGTTTTTGGCAGAAACCTGAGTAGAGGCCGTGACTGGACCACTTGAGCTTGGTTTACTAGCTCCTCCCTTCCTGCTTCCTAGGAGCCGTATGTCTACACTCTTTCAATTCTATGCTAAGTAACTCCAAGAGAAAATTTCTTTCTTTTTTTGTCAACAAAGATATTTCTTTCAACATCAACTTTCTAACTAATAAAGCACTAAATATGTTTTTATATCATTACAGTATTAACTTTTCACACTCACAGTTGTCTACCATATTATTTCTTTAAAGACAGGAAAAAAAAGAAGGATCAACTAGTGGTTAACCCCTCCCTCTATAAGATTTGGTCTCCTGCTAATGTTTTTCAGCCAACATCTATTAGATTCGGATTGCGACAGAGATAAAATCTACTTATACATCAGAACTACCATACTTCAAATGATTCATCTGGACGAAAAAACTAAATATCCATGATTAATTTCTCACATAACCTCTCAAAAAGATGCTTGGATCATGTTGAAACCCACCACAAACATTTTTATCATCTAAAAGCGTTTCACACTTCACAATTACTTCTGAACCAAACCTCACGCACAAGTCTGTAACTAAAAAATATAAACACACACACGATCACAACTCACAAGCTTACACAGTATAGATTATCACAAAACAAGGAAGCACAGCCCTCGGATTAAACACGAGAAGCTCCTCATCGTCGATCCTCAACAGGGCCCCACTCTTGCTCCCACTCCCCTGCCCAAGTAGAGAATCATACCCTCCACCATTCTTTTCCACGTCATCATCATCCGCAATCAAATCACACCCGACCCGACCCGCCACCACCCGACAAACCAGCATGGCCCGTTTCACGTTCATAAACCCAAACTCCTCCTCCACCTCCTCCGGAACCGCCACGTGTCCCCTCCACCCCGTCGCGAACGTCGCGATCCCGTCGAGCTTCGGCGAGAATCCCGATCCGATGATCCCGCAGACGCTGCAGTACTGATGCCCGCAGAGATTGGAATTACCGTTTTGCCCTAGGTTGCACATGAACGTGGAGCAGTAGAATCTCAGGAGCTCGTTCCCGTCGACGACGCAACGTTCGTCGCCGCCGCGAGAGGCTTTGGCCTTGACGAACTCGCGATACTCCTCGAACCTCGCGAGGATCTTGGGGCTGTTGTGGATCTTCAGGATCCGGTGGATCTCCGGGATCTTGTTGCCGTGCTCCGGCCAGCCTGATTTGAATATGATCTTCACGATGTTCGTGCTCGACTCGCCGGCGGCGAGCTCCGAGACGGCGTGTTTGACGGCGATGTGGTGCTCGAGGAGTGTGGTTTTGGGGAATATCTCGCCGCAGGTTGTGCAAGGGAAGATCTCGTTGTTGCGGAGAGGGAGAAAGAGAGGAGAATCCGACGAGGAGATATCGGAATATCCGTTTTCGGTTCGGGTTTCCGGGTCGGGTTGCACGAGAGTGACGAGGGAGTTTTGGGATGATCTGGCGGATGTCAGAGTCGTTAACGGGCCGTTAGGGTGTGTTTGGTTGCGGGATTTAGATATCCTCGTCGTGGATAGGAAAACCCGTTTTAGGTATGACCAAGAAGAGGATAAACCGGAACTTGAACCGGAAGTAACCGTTCTGAGCTTCTTCTTTCTCCTCTTCTGTCTTAAGTCGCCTCCTCTGGGGAAGAAGAAACAACCGATGAAGAGAAAGAAGAGAGAGAAGAAATGTTGACGTAACAACGACCCAAGCTTTCGCGCCGCCATTCAAGGGAGTTATTACTGAGCTTTAAGACACTTTGGAACTGGTCTGAAGAGAGAGAGAGAAGCAGAGGAAGTTTAGTGTTTTGCAGTTTTACACCATTGGAGAGAAATCAGAGTTGTAAAGAAGAAGAAATGATGAAGAAAAGAGTGTAAAGGGGGGTATGAAGACAGAAGATATGCTAAAGGTGTAGAAGAAGAGTAGGTGCGACGCTATTTTTATGTCTTTCTACTTTTATTTATTTTTCTAGTTATTTTGCCAGAATATTTGTCTCCCCACTTTGGTTTAATTTCTTTTCTTTTTTTGTATGTTTATGCGAATCTTACGATGCATTGATTACAGTGTGTGTGTGTGCATTTGAGTGAGTGCACATTGTTTTTTACCTTCACTGGATTTATAGAATATGCCATGATCTCTCATGATCATCTTAGTTTTTGTAGTAACATGGATGTGTCCATTGAATACTCTCGCAATTTTACATTTGTTCACTACAAGTTCTTATTTTGTTTTCATATATTCCGTACCTTCAATTTCGTTATCTGAATCACCTAAGCTTATCTAAGATTATTATTGTTGACAAAAAGAAAATTTGATAAATCTGTATTAGTATTCATTATGCATATAATACTTCTCTTCATATACATTTACAGAGAAAAATAAAAACCACTCATATCTGAATTTTTTAATCATTTGTATTTTATAATCATTTTATTCTTTCCATTGATGAGGATCTATTTCCCAATGTTCTCAATGTATTAGTACGATGGTATGTAATTACACTTATACTGTTGTATGTATTTGTGTACAGTGAATGTATTAACAGAGAGCTAAACTCGAAGTTTTGGAGGAGGAATCCAAGACTCGAATTATTATATGAATATAAATATCTGGTTTCACAAGTTTTGTTGCTTAGGATATGGACGTAGACAGAGGAACACGTGCACATGTCTCATTTATAATCTAAGCTCATCAATGCATATGTTTTCTTAGATCCATGCACATAGCTATCCATGCATATGATCATAACTAATTAGTAAAGAAAATTCAGTATCTTTTTTTCGAAAAATAAATACAGTCTACTATATTACTGATAAATGTTTAAATATCAAGTTATTATAGGATTTTGTGATTATTCAGAAAATGGCAAAATATAGGTTTAGAACGAAATAACCACTTAAGGGTACTACGTTATATCAGATGGTTTGATTCTTTGAGTAGTATATATTAGCCAAAAAATGAATGTATAATGTCATCACCTTCTTGTTGCAATTGTAATTAGATGATGGTCATTACCATCAATTGATACGATCATTGATCATTTGATTTCAAGAGAATACCACATTTGTACAAACGAAGAACGTATTTTGCTTGCTTTCTATACAACCAAATTAAGAAGAGTAATTTTCATTGTAAGGCAGATTCGTGTTTTTTATTTCAACAAAAGACAGTTTCTGCTCTTGGAGCAGTTGTTGCTGTGAAAAGACCTAAGTTATCCTTAAAAAGGTGTAACCAAGGGTAATTGCTTGGTATTTGATTTAGTTAGCGTTTTGTATATATTTTTTTTTTTGTTTCTTGTTTTTCTCTTCTCTCTCCTTTTCCAACCGTGAAACCTTTCACTTTCCCCAGATAGAACTTGAAAAAAGTAGGCGATTTCTAGGGTTTAATCATGTGTCTAGGATAGTGACAAAGGGGATTTCGAAGGCAGAAGAAGATTAATCGAGTTCGAACGATGTCCAGGCGACGAAGCTTGCTGCTCGCCGGAAACAGTAATGTAGCCGGAACCAAATAACTAATTTCTCCAAACTTGAAAATTAAAACTCTTTTTTGGGTCTTCAGTTCTAATACGTTAATCTGCATAAGATTTGTAAGATTTTAAGGTAAAAACACAAAAATAATGAAGATTGGATGATAAAAATCAATGGTGGCTTGACAAAAAACGCAGAAACCCCTAATATAAAGAAGATGAAATTATTACAAAATTGCCACTAACTGATGACGTGTCTGTGTACATAAAGTTAGTGTACACGAGTACATTGAGTGTGACGTGTACATAATTCAGATGATGTGGATGTGTACACATAAATTGTGTATGTACTTTTATTCGTGTACACGAATAAAGTGAACAACCTTCATACGTTTTATCAAAATACATCCACACGTACAATGATTCACTTGTACACAAAATTAACTTGTACAAGAATACATAAACGCTATACATTATTTTCCAAACAAAAGAAATATATTTTTTGCCCACTCTGATTTTTTCTTGTTGCTTGAATCCAAACAGTGCACACAAATCCATCTACAAAAAGTTATGATATCTAAT